GCAATGTACTTTCTTGGCACTCCCTTCACAGTCAAACATTGCCATAGTACCTTTCGATCCACGGAGTCGAAGGCCGCCTTCAAGTCAAGAAATATGGCAATTGTTGGACGCCTAAAAGTGTGTCTATGTTCTCGGATCTGTCGGAGAGTGAAGATATGATCTATGCACCCTCTACCTGGCCTAAAGCCTGCTTGATTTTCCCTCGTTTGTTCCTCCTGAGTTCGGCTTAGTCTGTGCATGATTACTGAGCCTAGGATTTTAGAGACTATGTTCGTCAGGCTGATTCCTCTATGATTATCACATGAGGACTTGTCTCCCTTCTTGAATATTGGTATAATAAGTGACTTACCCCAGTCTGATGGAACCGTCTCTGATTCTCAGACGTTACCTAGTACCTTAGTTAAACTGCATACTAGTATGTCACCCCCATATTTAAACACCTCCGGAATAATTCCGTCAGGTCCTGCCGCTTTGCCTGGTTTCAAATTACAGATAGCTTTTGTGACCTCACTTACAGGCGGCGAGTCAGTGTCTATATCCCATTCGGGTGTGTGCTGGATGGCGGGGAGGCTCAGTGTGGCTGTAGGCAAGTTAAATTGTTCCTCAAAGTGTTCTTTCCAGCGTTCAAGGCGTCTATCCTGAGAGCTAATAAAGGAGCCATTTTTCTCACAAATAGTCTCACTTATGATTTGCCTTCTCCCACCCGTTTCCCTGATGAGTCTAAAGAGTTGCCTAGTGTTGCCTATCGCCGATGCTTTTTCCATCTCTTTCGCCTTTGTCAACCACCACTGTTCACGGTCCTTGCGGAGACTTTTTGTAAGTTTCCTTTTGTGCAGCTTTCGCTCCTCATTGAATTCCGAGCTCGCCGGAATAAGTCTTCTAGCATCTATCAGTTCGGATGAGGCAGTCGAAATCCAATGGTTTTTACTCACCTTTGGATTTACCTTATTCACAGCTTTTACAGCTGTATCTATGGCTGACTGAATATTCTTCCAGGCTTCTTCAGGGTGAGCACAGCTGTCGAACTCAGATATGTGTTTAGCTACTTCTTCCTCAAATACGGACTTATTTTCCTGATCGAGCTGGGGACGTGATGGTTTTACCGCCAGCTGTTTCCTATGTCCGTTCAGTCGTAAGCACACTCGAGCGCGGACCAGTGCGTGAACGGTATCTACACACGTGTTCCAGAAGGAGCGACAATCTTCTACCGACCCACGCCAACGACAGCTTATTGCTATGTGGTCTATTTGTGTTCAGCGTTGATTTGATGATGGGGTCGCCAGGTCAAACAGTGTCTCTCCTTGTGTTTGAAGTTAGTGCTTACAAGAAACAAGTGATTATCTGAACAGAACTGTAGGAGACGGTCGCCGTTGTCGGTTCGCTGGCACGGAACTCCGTATGTGCCACCGACAACCTTCTCAGATTGACACAATTTCCCTACTTGAGCATTAAAGTCACCAGCTAGAACGACTATATCTGAGCGTTTAGCCTTTCGCAGCAAACTAGACAGCTTTTGGTAGAACTCATCCTTCGTTTCATCCGAACTGCAGTCAGTGGAGGCGTAGGCGGAGATTACGAAAAGGCATTGGCGAGTAGTGCAGTCCTTTCTCCTTTTTACTGATGCGTTCAGACGGACAGCACACATTCGGCTATCTACCGGGATCCAGTCAAGTAATGTCTTTTCTGCCATAGTACTCAAAGCTATCCCTACACCAGCTAATCCTCGTGAGCTAGCTGTGGCATCTCCTGACACCCTCAAGGTGAATTTTGCAGATTCATCCTGTTGGCCAGGTGGCGTTAGGTGAATAACCACACTTGGGTCTTGTATGCGTGTTTTTGAAACACAACATACATCAATGGCTCGGGATGCCAGAGTCTTGGCTAGTGATGCTTGTTATCCTATTTGGCAAAGTGTCCTAACATTAAATGTTCCTATATGAAATTGGTGGCGTGGCTTTAGGAGACTATCGGCAGTGGTTTTTTGGCTTCCGTCGTTTTTAGTGGACACATAGTGAAGAGGAAGTGAAGAGCCATCAAGTAGAGGAGTTGCATCAGTAGAAGGAAGGCAAAATAATAGAGATGAAGATGAAGACAAAGATGAGTGAGGATTAGAGAGGTTTCGCGTGCACTTCGGATTGTGAGGGCGATTGTTACTTCCCGGCTGCCGACACCGTGGAAGTTGGTTGCGCGACCGCAGAGCCCAGGGGACAACTGCTTGAGGCCGGTCACACGCGACCTGTTTTGTTTGTTCTTTTTTATTTGGTGTGTCTCAGTGGCATATTTATCACTTCTGCCCTGTGACACGGCAGCAGGAAGCGAGGTCGTTGTTAATCCGGGCCCCGACCGATCTGGCATGATATTTTGTGATTTTGTTTGGGTCATAGTATTGGATTGGGTAACTGCTTTTTGTCTAACCGCTATCCAAACAACCTTTCTGGCATGGTAGGACCTCAAGCGACTTAAGTCTCAGCCAGTGTAGCTTGATAGGTCATTGCGGTGTTCAAGCCCGACCACCACATCAAGGTAGCAGCTTTCGGTCGGGATTCGAATCACTACAATAGACCCTTCTTAGAATTCACGTTTTAGAGGATTATATTGCATTTGAAACTGTGAGAGGCTTTAAAAAACAATAGAGATGAAATAGCTTTTACGCAGCACCATATTTCTCTTGTCAGTTTAATATGCAGGAACAAAAATTTAATTCGGATAAGACTTGTGAATGACAAGAGTTCACGTTAAATTTTTTGTTTTGTTTTATTCCTTTACGCGTTCCCAGTTGAACATAAAGCGCCTTCAAGCTTGTGGCTGGCTTGAAGTTTTTCGGTAGGAGTGGTGTTTATTTTTGTGGGATGAGGTTGCTAGCCTCTTGCTAACCAACCTTCGCTCTTTCACCAGTCTTATTACTGGCTTAGCGAGAGAGGTAAATGAGTGCGTCCGTGGCCGGGCATCGAACCTCGAACCACATGAGGCATGGCGGGCGTGCATTCTACCACGGTACCACTGACGCACTGTGTACGTTTAATAGTTCTGTGTTAAAACACAGAGATTAACCAAAATGCGTACTTTCCAAAGTAAATAAGTGACTCAAGGTATGTGTAGGTATTGCGAAAATAATTAAATAAAAATAATAAACGGAGGATTTGGGAGTTCTCGGGGACTTTATTAATATTGATAGAGGTTGAAGATAAAATCTTGTGGAAGCATAGAACTGCGTAAACAGTTTCACTGAAATTGATATTAATATATATATATATATATATTTAGACAAAGCAGTAAGAAGACGTTATTTCTCTGAATTGTGTAATGTGTATTTGTGCAACACATTTCGAACAATCTGATCCATCACACATACGGACTTGTCATAGGAATGTCATATATGAAATTAATAAAGAGTTAAGAGGTGGGTGAGAAAATAGACTATCTAGGTCCAGTTAAAAGGAGGACATATTGAAGGTCAAAATAACAATGAAGATCAATCACTAAACCAAATAACAGAGGTAATAGTACATCTGCCCTGGTTGGTATCAAAACAAAATTTACCAAGCAAGGTTTAATGTGATGACGAATTATTTTGAACGCCAGCTACGGCTTCCACAAACATTAGGATACGCCCCAAACACACTTTTTAAAACTATCTATAAATTAATTTGATTTTTGTTTTTCAATTGCATTTCTTTACTCCCTCACTTCTTATTCAACTCCTTCCTACCTACGCCTTATTATTACCTACCACTGTTGTTAACTTGATTCCCGTTGAATTTTAGTTGAATTCGACTCAATCCAATCCCATCAATTGTATTGCATCATTCAAATTTGCTCACTTAATTTTTCAAGTTTCTACCTGATCAACGCCTTTTGTATTGCATAATTCGTTGACTATGTGAAATTCAAAATTCGCGTGACACATCTGTGTGCAAATATTCCATTTGTTACAAGAGGAAAGGATGCTTGCTATGTGTGTATATATATGCGATTGTACACCTAGAGAATGACATTGCTGAGGAGAGTGACTCACTCTTCTTTCAAAGTCTTTTCTTTCATGTAGTATTTATTATAACTCTACCGTATATTCTCAGTGAATTTCTATGGTATGTCGTTTCTTTTTGCATATGAAACGAGCATTGTTCATCCTATACACACACACACAGTGTTATTCTAACAGGTTGAATTCATCAGACTGCTTATATGCAGAGTAGACTAAGGAAATGTGATGAAAGTCCAATAAATAGTGAGTAAGTGATGCTTGTCGAATACTGACTGACTGAGTGGTGACTGAGGAGCATCCATGTCACATATGGATGGTGGAATATCATTATTGTGTATAGTTTGTAGTTTCTATGGTGTGTGTGTGTGTGTGTGTTGAATTCACTTTAATTCCCTATTGGCTGTTCACACATCCATCATAGTAGAATGTGGTGTATCTCTCCATCTTTTCCATCTTCAATTTCACACACACACACACACATAAAAGTCTTTGAGAGGGCCTACAGGAAAGAGACTGTTCACTTTCCACTTACACTTTATACTTCTGATAGTGTCATTATTAGAAGAAGAAGAAGAAGAATGGATACTGAACAGAGAATACTCTTTTCGATAACCCCTTCATCATCATCATCAGGCTCTACAGTTATATATCCATCCATTATAGTGAATGAATGAATGAATAAGGAATAAGTGTTATGAACAACATTAATGTTGCTGTTCAAAAAATAACATCGAATCAATAATAATAATAATAACACCAATGGATTACAGCTCAATAGCATCAACATAACAATATTCTGAATGTCAGTCTGAATGACTTTAATCACGGCTATATATGTAATATAATAATCATGGATTTGTAACTGTACAGCCTGAAGAAGAATTCATCGACGAAAACAATTGTTCGCTCAAAATCATCATCATCTTGTTTTACTTCAGTTCAGTTCTGCGTGGACCTCTGTCGTGCACAGTCTATGTACATTCACTCTGACCTTCCTTCACCTGTCTATTACCAAGCTTCACATTCTGAACATTTCATCCTTTAGACAGACAAAGTTATTTTGGTGTCATTTTGGGGAATCATATCTTTGACATTCACCAAAGCTTTCTCGCTGAACAATTAGAATATTCGTAATATGTTGCAATAATAATACGTGAAGCTAATTCGCTGTGTTGTTCACACCGTTTTGCATCAGGTAATGATGATTGCAGTTACATTTCATGTTCACTGTGTCTGGGTTTCTGCTTGTTTTTGCATTTACTGTAATTAAGATTCTGAGCATTCACGCCCAAACACGTCTGTTTACTCTGTTATTTTTAGTTAGTTAGTTAGAAAAACACTGATATTAATTTAAATACAAATTTTTGGGTTTTTCAATATTCATGTAATATTTTACTAGAATTAAACCAGAAAAACAATTTTATTACGATAATATTAATATCAGTGTGGTGAAAACTGCGTCAACATTCAACGATGACGATAGAGAATAGGAGGAGGAGAAGGAGGAAGAAGTATAAATATGTCTCAATTGTCGAGATTAAAAAAAGGTGCATATGCTCAGTTCCTTCCAAACTGACAGATAAAATCCACCTATTCATACATACACAAGACATAATTAATCATAGAAGTCAGCAGAAATGGACATTCACCTTTAACAACACTACTCGTAAATCTACGCATCACACACACACACACACAACTAATCTAGTATACATAGACGGAGGTGGGATTATTTGATTGAAAGCAATTGTTACTGTTACTGTTTGTCTATCTATCACTGTCGATAATGAATTATTCAGACGGACCTTGGGTAATTTTTCAACCGTGTGATATACTCACGCATAGTAGTAATTGGTCTCATAGACAACATTTCCGATGTTCTCTTGCACAATTTGTTGGTGTCTGGTCAGGTTATGTACTGCCAGTTGTCACTGTGTTAACAGCAATATTCAATCTATTGATCTGTGTATCAATCACACTGAAAGGCAGTAAGGTGTCGAAACAAATGATTTACATATCCGGTGTCTGTTTATTCAGTGTTATATCGAATGGTGTGTTGGTGTGGTTGCGCCAATTCCCTTCTGTTGGTCTACCCTATGCAACAAATCGAAAGACATACTTCACATTTATATTTATTTCTCCGTTCGTCTGTCGGCTTTATCGTTTTGTCTACACATTTTCTTGTACAGCAATGTGTAATATGCGAGTGTGTGCTTCTCTGTGCCGATGTTTAGCTATTTGCACTCCAATGAAGTATAAAAGCTGTTCAAATCGTACTGCCTGGTATATTTATGGTATAATTATTATTGTCAGTGCTTTTCTAATGCTTCCATTTGCAATCTATGCAGATTGGTTTCCAAGCAATGGTAAAATCAGGTGTTGGTATAATCCACACGATGTGGGCTTACAGATTTATCAAGCTCTACTATCGAATCTTGGTCCTGTTCAGAATATACTACTAATTATTTTGGATTTAACTTTTGCTATCAAAATTCGTCAACAGAGGCATGGCGCTTTGATAATTGCATCAACTCAGGTAGAGCGTAAGCAACTGCGAATTTCCATTTTACTATTAATCTCATCAGTTACATTCATTTGTGTAGCAGTGCCACATGGTGTATTCTACTTACTGGGTAGGATATATATAATCAAATCACGAGAAAGGAGAGCAGATGGTTTCCTGCATTTAGCTACAGTTTTCTGGTTTATAAATGATATCAGAGAATTGAGTGATATAGTTATTTATCTTGTTTGCTTTAAAGCATCCGAACAAATTTTCGCACATTTCTCATCTATGTATGAGAAAATTGTTGGTGGGTTTAAAGTTTCATTCAATAAAATACATTGGTGCATTTCGGAGGATTTCAGAGTGACGATGCCTCGAATACTGAAGACTGAAGTGAAGTGAAGTGAACGTGACATTTTGTTTCATCTTTGCTGTGCCAACAATCTAACAGATTAGTGTTTTTGAAGACATACACTCACTCACTCACTCACTATGTGTGATGGCATCAGTCAGTCTCTCTCGGAACTTGTCGTCAACATTGTGTGTGTGTGTGTTGAGTATTTCAACTGATCACCACACTTGGCTGTTGTTGTTGTTGTTGTCATTTTCATCAAGCTCTTGTGTTTGTCATTGTTTTTGAAAGAAACAGATTGTCATTGAATATGGTTTTCATTACAAAATTGATATTTTCTTCAGTGATGTGACGTGACGTGACGTGGAGTGAATGCAACTAATGTCTGATTTCAAGGTGTGTGTGTGTGTGTGTAATACTCGTGCGGAAACAGGTTTCAGGTACAAAACAAAACTGGTAATTCCCCTTCGAGTTCTTCTTCACACTTTATCACACTTTTTATTTTGCTATGTGATTTAACATTGAATTACCGAGTACAGAAGTAGAATGGAGTGTTGTTTGGTTGATGATGGAATCTAGGCCGGAAAACTCTGCATCCTATCTAAAATGCATCAACTGAATGTGAGAGGTGTTATCGTATTCCCACCGGTGCTCGAACCCAGTACCCATTATATATGTGTATGTTTATATATCAAATGTCTAAGTGTTATTTGCAGTAGACATTTATAAAATTATATTTGTAAAATCTCAGCGAAACTGAAATGTGTAATTCCAACGTTTCGTTCGGCAATCTGCTCCGAACTTCTTCAGGGAAATTAATCGAAATTAACACAATAGAGATTGATATATAAAAGGAACAACTCTTGTTTTTTAATCTCTGCCCAATCATGCAACAGCCATGCAACAGTCATCAACATGTATAATAAATAAATAAATAAAATTGTATGTTTATATATAAAAGTACATCTCTTGTTTTTAAATTGTTTGTCCTGTCATGTGAATCAAGGAACAGCTATCAATATGTATAATAAACAAAACAAAACAAGAATTTTTTATATGAACTGTGATCAAAATTTGACCTCAGACTTTCAAAATTAGTCTACTTTCGTTAAAATATATGTGTATATGCAGTATACAATGGTGTGTGTGTATGTGTGTGGGTGAACAGTCATAAAACATTTGTTATTCTCATATGAGCTGTGATCAAGATTTGACCGGTTAGTTACAGAATAATTGAGATTTTTTACAAATATAATATAATTTTTATAAATTTGATATTCTCTCCATAAGAAGACGTAGACAATCGGGAATTTGATGAAGTGTGACTAGTTGTTGAAAACATATCCAATTTATTTATTAGTCAGGATTTGCCATGCATCAGCTAACATCACACCACACCTTCACGTCTGTTCAAACTGTTGGCATTCACCCATATATGTAGGGCTTCTGCAGTCAGTCTTTCTTTATATGAACCAAAACCTTTCTGTAAAACCTTAGTCTTATCAAAGTCGATTTTGTGTCCCGTTTCTATCGAATGCAGTGCAATCGCATGAGTTGTTTTCTAGCTTCTTCAAGTCTGCAGAGGTCTTTGGAACCACATTTAGACATTGTTTATGCTCTTTTACTACTATATTTACCTGTCTGGAAGTTTCTCCCATATATACGGCGTTACAATCTCCACAATTGATCTGGTATACACAATTCTGCTGATTTTCTTGTTCTATTTTATCCTTAACCTTCACCAGTAATGAGCGTAAGGTGTTTGATGCACGAAAATACACTCTTATATTATGATCGTTAGGATTCGCTTTATTTATCAGCGATCAATTATTTTGCAACTATCCGGTCAAATCTTGATCACAGTTCATATGAGTACTTTGCAGTAGTTTGCTAAATCGTTACATCCAATCCAAACAAATGATGTTCATTCTGATGAGTAGTTAGTTATGTTGTGAATAAATGTTTGAAGGGCGTCACTGATGGAAATTGAATTGAGGAAAGTATAGTCTCTAGATAGCAGATAATTCTCATGCTTAAGTTTAAAAACATTTGAGATGTGTGAATAGCAGCTGGTACGGCTACGGAGAAGGTCAGATAAAATCTATAAGAAGTTATATTTTGGCCCTTCATTTGATTGAAGACACCGGTCACCAAGTGGACAGAAGTAGTTCCAACTGGTGTCAAAGTTATCTTACTCATTCCATCGACCCGTGTGAACAAATTTGGATATTGAGTATATGATATTCATTATGATGATACAGCTTTTTGTATTTCCCAATGAAGGAATGAATGAAAAAGAGCAAAACGATATTGCTGTTTTTACTGACGTTTCGCTATTTAATGCTGCTGCTAATAGCTTTATCAAGGTAGAATTATTAAACCAGGATTTACAAAATCCACTCAGCATATATATAACAAAGAGAGGTTAAGAGGTGGGTGAGAAAATAGACTAATTAGGTCAAGTTAAATGGAGGACATATTGAAAGTCAAAATAACAATGAAGATCAATCACTAAACCAAATAACAGAGGTAATAGTACATCTGCCCTGGTTGGTATCAAAACAAAGTTTACTAATTTGATGATATTAGATCGTTGGAGGCAATCGGCCACAGGAAGCGATCCCGAATAGCTCAGTGGTAACGACTCTGACTGCAGTACTCACTGGTTGACGCGGGTTCGAATCTCAGAAGAGACATGAGCTGTTCCTTCAATGTGGTTGCAGATACGCCTTGCTGACTGACTGGTGAGTGCCAACTAGCACGAAACCTCGGTCAAGCAAGGCTTCCTCTGGCCGATTGCCTCCAACCATCTAATATCATCAAATCAATGTGCACCGTGATGGCGAGCTACCTAGTTGAATGGTGGCCACATTACAACCTGACTGACTGACTGATAGAATTCAGTCTGCACCAAAGAGAGGACTAGACACATCACACTAGTTACTGGTGTCAAATCAAAATAAAGTTTACTCATCACTTGAACATCGTTCGTCAGTCTGGGGTCATTTTTCGTTGTAAAGTTGTTCAACTGGTAAAGATAACAAAACCAAGTGTAGATGACTGTTGGATTTGATCAGTGTGTAAAATTATAAAAGCAGTGTGTGTTTACATAGTGAACTTGCTTATCACATCCGTGTCGATTTTGTCTCTTCATGGGGGATGGGAGGGAGGTTTCGTAACCAGTCAGATTCTGTTTTAGTCCATCATTCCTTTTCAGTTCAGGCAATTTCCATTCCACTTGATATGAAGTGCTGGCTTCTGATGATATGAGACTTTCTTTGTGATATCCGAAATGCTTTTAATGCACAGCGATTTCAATATTGTCAAAATCAATTTTGTCGCCTGATTCTTTAGCGTGTAGACAAGATGTGGCTGGCTGATGATTTTTCAAGCTTTTCTAGTTCAAGCGGATTTATTTCTTGGTGGTCGAACAGATGCTCCACGGTGTTGAATTCTTTTCATTTTGATGCATATCGCATCACATTCCAAGCAAGGATTTTATTTTATAGACACAATTAGTAGATAGAGAATCTTTAGGGAATTGGTCTTTTATATGGACAAGTTTGTTTCGTAGTGTGCGTGTCTGATGTCTTGAAGAAAACTCTAATGTCGAGCTGATGGATGGAGTACTCTTCTGATATCGTCTGACGTCTCTGCTCTATATGGAATTACGACTGATGAGGTACATGTTTTCGGAATGCACTTTCGACAATATCAGTGTTGATTTTGTTGATGAAGTTCGTTGGGTAGTTGTTTTGATCGTGGAGAGTTTCAGTAATGTTTGATATTTCTTCTTCCACTTTTTCTTTCTCATCCGTAAACATGAGAGTGTGTGTTCGTCTAAGAAGACTTGAAACAACCGAAATCTTCGCGTTGATTTCGTGTGATGATCTGAAGTCTAAATATTTGTTGTTGTTGGAGTGGTTTTTCTTCCTGAATATGCATATACTAAAATGTCCGTTTTCCCTCCTCTTAACTAGCCAGGCAGTCTTGAAATGGTAGTTCACCGATGTCTGATTCTGCCTGCTTCCGAAGTAAACTGGATTCTTGGAGATACACAGTTTACACAGTTTCTCCAGGAATGAACTGTGTAGATCTGGCTCGTTCTAGCGCTACAAAAGTATCATCTACATATGTCAACCATATATTGGGAGTGAGTATGCTTGAAAAGATTTTATTTTCGAATCTATTCATGAAAAGGTCAGCGACTATTATGGGGGCGACTGGTGAACCAATAGCAACGCCACTTGTGTGTCTTTAAAAGCTCTCTTTAAATGCTTAATTATTACTTTCTAGACAGAATGTCAAACTCTTAATTATTTCACTGGTGTCCAGTGGACATCTTTGTAGACTGGAAATGATATCAAGTCTTTCAGTGATTGGGATACTAGTATATAATGAGTGAATATCACAGCTTACCATAATGTCGTCTTCCTTCTCAATTTCTCGGTGTTCTATTTGCGATTTGAAATCATATGAATTTCTTAGAATATTTTGAGTGTCCTTTTGTAGTGGTTGTAGTACCGAGAGTAAGTATTTAGAGAGGTTGTATGTCGGTGAGTTGTTGAAATCTACTACTGGTCTCAATGGAACTGTGGGTTTATGTATCTTCGGAATCTTGAATGTAGATTTTAGTTTTGCTTTTAGTTTATACCAGAGAGAGAGAATTTCCAATTTCGGGTTTCATTTCTTGAAGGAGTCTGTTTGTATTTAGTTTCATTTTGTTGAATTCGGCGGATTTCTTCTTCTTCTCTTCAGTGAGTGAGTTAGCGTGGTCCTTCAGATCGGAGGTGTTCAATCGCCTTCTTCTTTTCATAATCCGTTCTGTTCATTATCATCACAGTAACGTTTCCCTTGTCGGCTTTCGTGATAACGATGCTTTTGTCTTTCTTCAAATTTCCTAGAGGCTTCATATTCTTGTTTGGTGAGATTGAATGGTATGTTTCCTTGTGTCATTAATATATGTGTGATATCTTTTGACGAACAGATTGTGATTGTTCCTTCGTGTTGGTGAATTGTTGTAGAGGTTGTAGGTTCGATGATAGGTGCTATTTCCACTGGGCACTGGGCGATAATGGCTTTCTAGTGATATTGAATGGAATTCACACCTTTCTGTAGTAATGAGATTTCATTTTCGGTCGGTGAGAATCTTGTCTGACATGTTGTTATGTATGGACTGCTCTATCTTCAATCATGTGAGGTTTTCTTTGTTCGGTTGTTTCTTTTCTTCTAGTTTCAAGATGTTTTGTATATGTCTGCTTTTAGTGACATTGTGAAAATGAGTTTCTCGTTCATTAAACAATTTTTGAAAAGATTCATAGATATGGATGGCTTGTAACAAGTATTATGTTAAACAGTCGTCTATAGTCGGTGACCTTTGCATGAATAGATTCGAAAATAACATATTTTGAAGCATACTCACTCCTAAAATATGGTTAACATATGTAGATGATAGTTTTGTAGCGCTAGAACGAGCCAGATCTACACAGTTCATTCCTGGAGAAAGTAAGCCTGAATACATTTGTGCACTCATTGATAATTCTAGAGATTCGATAAACAGAATGCTGATTGACACATGACTCAAATCAGAAGTCTACGAGGCACACAGGGAGGGAGAGAGAGAGTAGACCACA